GGCAAAACGATACGGCAAGTGTGTAAGGCAGCGAAGTGTACGACAAGACAACACCATGGACAGAGCTGGGACACTGCCTCTGAATTTGTATGAAACATAGACATTGCTTAATCCATTAGATTTGCAGTTTATACTTCCTCGTGCACAAAGCTCAGTGCCGGGAGAAAGTGCAGAACGTCCAGAAGGTGAGTCTGATGAACAGTGTGCGGAGGTTCTCACCTGCACTGATCAACGTGACGAGTACAGCGGCAGCGAAAGTGGAGACAGTGAGTCTGACGACGATTGTGCAGATGATACGAGTGGTTTCAATATGGTTATGCCAACAAGGGTTGGTAGACAAAGACTGCTCACCAGATGAGTGAGAGATTATCCTTAGTCCAGGTTGAGGTATGTGTGTATCCAAACGACGTCAGTCCGCGGCTTTTAATTAATTATACACATTAGTCCGCAAACAATCACTGGGAATGGGATTTTAGATTTGGTAATTGGGATTTGGACCAAATTTAAGTTGGGAACTGGGATTGGGCAAAAATTTGGGCTGGGAACTGGGATTTGGTACCCCCCTTCGTGACCCTCTAAAAGGTCGAACGCCATGTTTACAGTTACATGCATTGTGTAGCCCTGGGGACGAGAAAATGTAAGCATCCTTCCCCAGACTTCTTCGGAAGTCAGTTTATCATTGCACGCATGCGTAGCTCATCTGTTTTCCGAGACAATGTTTCCTCGTTTAGCCACTGGCGCAGCAAAACATTTTGTTTGTTTCCCGCTAATTTAGCCACCGCGGTAAACATAACAAGAAACAATGTTTCCGCAACAATGTTTTCTAGTTTAGCCAGGCCTTAAAATGAAAGCAAAATTTTCCTACCGTGACCAAATCGAGTTTAATGAACCTGTACTTAAATCAGGAACACCAGAATAGCAGCATATCGCTAACCACTAACTGTTAACGTCTTCCAGCTGAAAACCTAGCTGTTATCTGTCGAAAATTATACTGAAATCCAACTGTAGTGCGTCCGCAAAACAAGTGCGCTTTAGGCAAATGTCTTACTTACTGGGGTGGTGACAGGAAAAAATGTGACGGGCACCGTAAAAGTTTTCAAAAAAGATGAATAACTTTAAAAAACGCGTGGTTACCCCTACATTTTATGTTGTGAAATGGAAGTGGCAAGTCTATTCAACACGTGATTAGTTTCTGGTTGTGAGCAAAAGGTATTTAGACTGTATTTTAGCTGAACCAGAGGAAGGCTGTCAGAGACGCTAAAAGCGCTGTTGCAACGATTTTAATATTAAGAACATACCAAAACTGGTTTTTATGTTACCATTTGCCATGTAGTTTAAAGATCTTTTTAAATGTGTTTGCTTTTCTATATGTAAAGGAGAATTCTAAGGAAATCTGAGAAGAAATATCCTTTCCTTCTTTTTTTTTTAGAAAAATGCTGATGTCAGTATTTTTGTTGAGGTTCAAGGCTAATTATCCCGAAAAAATGCGCGGCTACCCCCATTTTTCTTTGTGGATTCCAATAGACCTTGCAAAAATCTACTTTTCCCGCGTGGTCCTAACCTGGCGCAAAAACCTTTGTATTTAGTATACACCGTCCTTAATATTATATTAGGGACCTTAAGATACGAGGACGGGAAGGCCAGGACGGGAACGGCAGTGGACGCGGGAAACTTTCGCGGATCCCGTCGTGTAGACAAAAACAAAATGCTTAAGATGTGTATTTTTGCAAAGGACGGCGACGTCAATAATTCAAACATCCTTTAGACTATAAAAAAAGATGGTAGAAATCTTATCCTATTAAGCTTAAAGGATAGTGAACAGCGATGCTGAATTTATTTTTCTTTATAAGCGAAGCAAACATCTGTCAATATTTTAATAGAGAAACC